AATAATTATTATCATTATCATTAGTGAAGAGAGACCAATAACAAATCATATTATTAATGTTGTTGTTGTTGTTAGTGAGGAAAGCTCACTAATAAAATTATTATTATTATTATTATTATTATTATTATTATTATTATTATTATTAGTGAGGAAAGGCTCAGTAAATAAAAGTATTATTGTTGTTGTTACTGTTATTAGAGAGGAAAGGCTTACTAAATATAATAATTATCATTATCATTAGTGAAGAGAGACCAATAACAACATTATTGATGTTGTTGTTGTTGTTAGTGAGAAAAGCTCACTAGATAAAATTATTATTGTTGTTATTAGTGAGAAAGGCTCACTAAATATTATCATTATCATTAGTGAAGAGACCAATACCAAATAAAAGTATTAATGTTGTTGTTGTTGTTAGTGAGGAAAGCTCACTAAATAAAATTATTATTATTATTATTGTTATTAGTGAGGAAAGGTTCACTAAACATAATAACTATTATTATTATTAGTGAAGAGAGACCAATAACAAATAAAATTATTGATGTTATTGTTGTTGTTGGTGAGGAAAGCTCACTAAATAAAATTATTATTATTATTATTATTATTATTATTATTATTATTATTATTATTGAGAGACCAATAACAAATAAAATTATTATTATTATTAAAGAAAGTCTGAATAATAATAATAATAATAATAATAATAATAATAATAATAATAATGTCTTAGCCCCTGTCATTCCTCGTCATTTCCACCCATGGCGTCCTCTCCTTCATTTTGGGATTGCTGTAACTGGGTCTACACCGCCATATAATCCAGTTCAATGCAGATCATCTGCATTATATTATATTATATTGTATTGTTATATTAATTGTTTAATGACATAAATAAGAGACATATTTTGATGTGTGCCCATTGTTTTGATTTGCATCTTGTTATACCTATTGTTATCCGCCTCGACTCACATGATCCAACTCCATTGAGCCATTGTGGTTAAAGTGGTGTCAAACTGGATTGATTCTACAGTGTAGATGCACTGTTGTCTGTCTCTCTTTTCCAGACATTGTCAACCGGCTCCTGGTCAACCGAGAAGGAAGCAACGGGGCTTTAGCCCTTTGAGAAGGAGAACGGCATTCATTGTATTCTCTTCCTTCTGAGCAAAAGCCTTTTCTGATGGAAAACCTGCCTTTGGGGTTTTGTTTTGGTTAATATAGAATTATTTTGATTGAGGGTTTTTCAACTGATCCCAGAATAAAAGTTTTAGTTGTAATTGAATATGATTGAATCTCGGAGTACTTGTGTGTTTGAATCAATCACATATGATAGTTTCCCTTCTAACATGCATGAAACACCACACACACACACACACGCTAGCTGTACCTGCCATGCATTGCTGTGGCCAACCTTCCCCCCCTCCCCACTTTCTCTCCTGTCTCTTCTTCCTTCCTTCCCTCCCTCTTTCCTTCCTTCCCCCTTTTCCTTTTCCTTACTCTTTCCCTTCTTCCTTCCTTCTCTACCTCTTTCCTTCCTTCCTTTGCTTTTTGCTTTCATCCTTCTCTCTTTCCTTCTCTCATTCCCTCCCTCTTTCTCTCCTTTCTTATTTTTCTACCTCTTTCTTTCCTTCCTTCACTTTTTGCTTCCACCCTTCTCTCTTTCCTTCTTTCCTTTCCTCCGTCTTTCTCTCCTTTCTTCTTTCTCCACCTCTTTCCTTCCTTTCTTTACTTTTTGCTTCCATCCTTCTCTCTTTCCTTCTTTCCTTCTATCCCTCTTTCTCTCCTTTCTTCTTTCTCTACCTCTTTCATCCCTTCCTTTGCTCTTTGGTTCTATCCTTCTTTCTCTCTTTCCTTCTTTCCTTCTATCCCTCTTTCTCTACCTCTTTCATCCCTTCCTTTGCTCTTTGGTTCTATCCTTCTTTCTCTCTTTCCTTCTTTCCTTCTATCCCTCTTTCTCTACCTCTTTCATCCCTTCCTTTGCTCTTTGGTTCTATCCTTCTTTCTCTCTTTCCTTCTTTCCTTCTATCCCTCTTTCTCTACCTCTTTCATCCCTTCCTTTGCTCTTTGGTTCCATCCTTCTTTCTCTCTTTCCTTCTTTCCTTTCCTCCGTCTTTCTCTCCTTTCTTCTTTCTCTACCTCTTTCCTTCCTTCCTTTACTTTTTGCTTCCATCCTTCTCTCTTTCCTTCTTTCCTTCTATCCCTCTTTCTCTCCTTTCTTCTTTCTCTACCTCTTTCATCCCTTCCTTTGCTCTTTGGTTCTATCCTTCTTTCTCTCTTTCCTTCTTTCCTTCTATCCCTCTTTCTCTACCTCTTTCATCCCTTCCTTTGCTCTTTGGTTCCATCCTTCTTTCTCTCTTTCCTTCTTTCCTTTCCTCCGTCTTTCTCTCCTTTCTTCTTTCTCTACCTCTTTCCTTCCTTCCTTTACTTTTTGCTTCCATCCTTCTCTCTTTCCTTCTTTCCTTCTATCCCTCTTTCTCTCCTTTCTTCTTTCTCTACCTCTTTCATCCCTTCCTTTGCTCTTTGGTTCTATCCTTCTTTCTCTCTTTCCTTCTTTCCTTCTATCCCTCTTTCTTTCCCTCCCTCTTTCGCTCTTTTGTTCCTTCTCTTCTTCCCTCTCCTTCCTTCTTTACTTCCTTCTCTATCTTTCTTTCTTTCCTACTCTCCTTCCCTCCTTCTTTCCCTCTTTCTCTCCCTCCTTCTCTCCTTCCTTCCTTCCCCCTTTCTGTGTATATGTTTTGTGTGTGTTTGTGTGTATATATATATATATGTGTGTGTGTGTGTGTGTATTTGTGTATGTGTGCATATATGTGTGTTTGTGAATATATGTGGTTTTGTGCATGTAACTGAATATGATTGAATCTTGGAGTTCTTCTGTGTTTGAATCAATCACATATGATCGTTTCCCTTACATACATACATCTAGGGGTGCATCAACTATATTATTATTATTATTATTACTATAAATTTATTAATAAATAGTTATTAAATAACAATATGTTATTATGAAATATTATATTATGGTATTATTAAATAATGATTATGATGATTGATCCAGGGGTGCATCTACCCTGCAGAATTATTATTATTATTATATTTAATATTCTATTATATTATGTTATTAATTGATGATGATGATGGATCTACATCAGCATTGTAGAATTATAATAATAGTAATTATTATACATATATTATTACATTATTATTAAATAACAACATATTATAATATTATTATCAACTATTATATTATGTTATGTTATTATTAAATATTGACAATGATGCTGATGTACCCAGGCATGCATCTGCACTGTAGAATTAATGCATTTTAATTACTATGGAATCCTGAGTATTATAATTGTAACTCAATATTATTAAATTAGGTTCTTGTATATTTAAATCCATCACATACGACAAAATTTCCCTGCTAATTATTTAATTATCATTATTATTGTTCTCATTATTATTATATTATTAAATTATTTTCAAAGTATTATGTTAGCAATTATATTATTATTTATTATTATTGTCATCATCATATAATATCTTATTAAATTATTATTATATAATGTTAGCAATTGTAATATTATTATTTAATTATCATCATCCTATATTATTATTATAATTATTAATTATAGTTTTGTAATTATTATATGTTTGCAATTATATTATTATTTATTATTATTGTCATCATCATATAACATATTATTAATGTATTACTATATAATGTTAGCAATTTTATTATTATTTAATTATCATCATCCTATATTATTAAATTATTATTTTGTAATTAATATATGTTTGCAATTATATTATTTTGTTATTATCATCATATATTGTTATTGTTTTATATATATATACATATATATAAATTGTTTTATATATATATAATCATATATTGTTTAATTATTATTTTCTAATTATTATTATATGTTTGCAATTATATTATTTTGTTATGTTGATGATTATATTACTAAATTATTTCAAACTGTTATTATACAATGTTAACACTTATATTATTATTTATTATTATTGTCATAATCATATAATATATTATTACATTATTATTATATAATGTTAGCAATTGTATTATTATTATTATTATTAATTAATTATCACCATTCTATATTATTAAATTATTATTTTGTAATTATTATATGTTTGCAATTATATTATTTTGTTATTATCATCATATATTGTTAAATTATTATTTCAAACTGTTATTATACAAAGTTAGCAATTATATTATTTATTATTATTATTGTCATCATCATATAATATATTATTACATTATTATTATATAATGTTAGCAATTGTATTATTGTTATTATTATTATTTAATTATCATCATCCTATATTATTAAATTATTATTTTGTAATTATTATATGTTTGCAATTATATTATTTTGTTATTATCATCATATATTGTTAAATTATTATTTCAAACTATTATTATATAATGTTGGCAATTATATTACTATTTAATAATAATTTCCAGGGCTGCATCTACACTGTAGAATTAATGCGGTTTGATACCACTTTAACTACCATGGCTCCCATATCATTGAGCCGGGAAAGTTAATGTGGACTCGCGTTATCGCCATACAAGTGTTGAAAGGACTCTCTAAGCTTTAGTTTATAGTGTTCTTTTTGCGCATGCGCTATTTCTATTTCCCGTAGCTTTACTGGGCGGTGTTCTTGTTGCGCATGCGCCTTTTCAATGTGAGCCCTAACTTCTATCCTGGCCGATGTTCTTATTGCGCATGCGCCTCCTCACCCTTTCTATTTACCGTAGCTTCTTTCCCGGCCACTGTCCTTGTTGCGCATGCGCCCTTCTAGCTTCTATCCTGGCCGATGTTCTTATTGCGCATGCGCCTCCTCACCCTTTCTATTTACCGTAGCTTCTTTCCTGGCCAGTATCCCTGTTGCGCATGCGCCCTTCTAGCTTCTATCCTGGCCGATGTTCTTACTGCGCATGCGTCTCCTCAACGGTCCCTGGTGAGGAAAAGTGGAAGAAGCGCCGCCTAATGGGAGACTAGAAGTCGTTTTCTGAATACGCATGCGCCTTTTTCCCAAACGGTTTCTTTCCCCGCCCATATGAGAGGAATGACACAGCCATCGTCCAATGGGAAACCGGATGGCGTTTTCTCGATACGCATGCGCCTTTTCCCAACGGCCTCTTTCCCCGCCCATATGAGAGGAATGACAGAGGCATCGTCCAATGGGAAACCAGATGGCGTTTTCTCGATACGCATGCGCCTTTTTCCAACGGCCTCTTGAAAGGATTGACACAGGCGTTGCCCAATGGGAAGACAGAGTGCCTTTTCCCCGCCCAGATGTGAAGAGTGACAGAGGCGCCCCCCAATGGGAAACCAGGCAGCGTTTTCTCAGTACGTAAGCGCCATTTTCAACTCCCTCTTTCCCCGCCCATGTGAGAAGAGTGATCGCTATGCCGCCCAATAGGAAGTAAGAGTGGGAGCGGCGTCCAATAGGAAGCGCGGTTTCCTTCGGGGCGGCCAATGAGGGCGGGGGGCGGGACCGTAGCGGCGGCGGGGAGATTGAGAGGCTGTCACTCGCGGCCATGGCTCAGGAGGAGATGGAGGTGGATCTGCATCCGGTGGCTGAAGAGGAGGCCGAGAGGCCCAACGAGGACGATGGAGGCGCCTCGGGCTCGGGAGCTGGGCCTGGGCCTCTTGTTGGGCCTGCGCCGGCCTCTCCTCGACTTTCCCGGGGCGCCTTCGCCGGAGAAGCGGAGCCTCGAAGGCCGCCGCCGCCTCGCGCCCGAAGGAACCGGGCTGGAAGGGCCCAACGGGCGGCGACAGGCAGGTAGGCCTCGCCTCAGGGCATTCTGGAATGGGGGGGCTGAAGGGAAGGAACAACAACAACAAGGCCCAAAAGGATCTCTATCTTCTCCATCTCTTCTTCTCTATATAAATAACAATGTAATGTTAGTTTGTGGGATTAACAGGACTCAAAAACCACTGGGCGAATTGATCCCAAATTTGGACACAATACACCTCTCAGGCCAACGAGTGACCATCTATATATATAAATCTGTTAGGTTGGTTCAACCGGACAGCAAAACTCCACAACCCCCCAACGAAACTGTACCAAAATTGCCATACCCATAACACAACCCACAAGGTACAAACATATCTACTCAAAATGAAAAACAACACAACAACACACTCAAAAAATGGAACATATCTACCCAAAATGAAAAACAACACAACAACACACTCACAAAACGGCAAAACAACAAAACTCAACCCCCCCAACGAAACTTAACCAAAATTCCCATGCCCATAACACAACCCACAAGGTACAAACATATCTACTCAAAATGAAAAACAACACAACAACACACTCACAAAACGGCAAAACAACTATTATTGTTATTGTTATGATGGTGGTAAAATAAAAGGAAATAAAAAGTGAAAGAAGGAAGCAAACAGGGAGGGAAGAAAGGCAATGGAAGAAAGGGGGAGGGAAAGAGAGAAGGATGAAACCCAAGTTGTGAAAGAAGGAAAGAAAGAAAGAGGTAGAGAAGGAAGAAAGGAGAGAAAGGGGGAGGAAAAGGGGGAAGGAATAGGTAGGTCCCTCTCTTTCATAATAGTCCAGATATCTACCTCAACTTTGATAAGTTTTACTATAGGCCACAGCAACGCGTGGCAAGGCACAGCTAGTCACTCATAAAAACACCGAAAAACATAGCAGAAGGGACTTAAAAAGCCAAAAAAAAAAACCCATTTTTTTTTATAACACATGTGCAAAACCACAAATATACATGGATACGTTTTATTGATTGGCCTATTGGTCGTATCAAAACATTTAACACATAACACAATTAACACATAGTCATACATACAACATACAACCCTCGGTATAAAAGAAGTTAAAATAAACAAGCTGTTAACAGGTCAAATGTCTGCGTCACCTCCACAGCTTACCCCAATTGATTCTAAATGTGCAATTCTCAGCTGTGTTGCTTTGAATAGAAAAAGGGCTGTTTTGTGTGTTATTTTAGGGTTCTGGCCGGCCAGCAAAAATGAGGTTTTAATATATGGGTCCCAGTGTGTTTTTTGAATAATGTATGGTCCAAGGCAATGGTCTCTCTCTTTCTTATACAGCTCACAGTTGAACAATACATGTGTGATATCCTCCACCTCTGGTGCTCCACAAATACAAAATCGTTCGTTGTATGGGACTTGATTAAACCTTCCGTGCTTGTCCATTGTATCCAGCTGTTCAAAACGAGCTCTGGTAAATACCCTCCTAAGGTGTTTAGGCATTTCTGTTTTTAGATATCGAGCTGTTTGGAAGGTATGTTTAAAGCGGCCTAACCATTTCAGTGAGCCAGCTTTACTGAGGGTAGCGATGTCTTTTTGGCCTTCTATATCCAATACTCGTTGAGCAACTATATATACACAAATATAAACACATCAGAACTGTGTATGCATACATACACACAAAACACATATACACACACTGGGCCACAGCAACGCGTGGCAGGGGATGGCTAGTTATTGATAAAATTAAATCAAATTAAATAGCTGTCCCTTGTCCCCTTCAATATTATATAGTAATATTATATACTGTGTGGATCATAATAAATTGTGGCAAGTTCCTGATGGCATGGGCATCCCAAGCCCCCTTCCCTCTCTCCTGAGGAATCTGTACAAGGACCAAGGAGCAACAGTCAGAACTGACCACGGAACAGGAGACTGGTTCAAGATTGGGAAAGGCGTCCGGCAAGGCTGCATCCTCTCACCCAACCTTTTTAACTTGTATGCAGAACACATCATGCGGATGTGCGGGGCTGGATGAATGCAAAGCTGGGGTGAAAATTGCTGGAAGAAACATTCACAACCTCAGATATGCAGATGACACCACTCTGATGGCCGAAAGCGAGGAAGAGCTGAGGAGCCTTCTAATCAAGGGGAAAAAAAGTGCAAAAGCTGGGTTGCAGCTAAACATAAAAAACAAGATTATGGCAACAAGAATGATTGACAACTGGGAAATAGAGGGAGAAAATGTGGAGGCCGTGACAGGGTTTGTATTTTTAGGTGCAAAGATTACTGCAGATGCAGACTGTGGCCAGGAAATCAGAAGACGCTTCCTTCTTGGGAGGAGAGCAATGTCCAGTCTCGATAAAATAGTGAAGAGTAGAGACATCAGACTGGCAACAAAGATCCGCCTAGTCAAAGCCATGGTCTTCCCTGTAGTAACCTACGGATGTGAGAGCTGGACCTTAGGGAAGGCTGAGCGAAGGAAGATCGATGCTTTTGAGCTGTGGTGTTGGAGGAAAGTTCTGAGAGTGCCTTGGACTGCGAGAAGATCCAACCAGTCCATCCTCCAGGAAATAAAGCCCGATTGCTCACTGGAGGGAAGGAGACTAGAGACAAAGTTGAAGTACTTTGGCCACATCATGAGGAGACAGCAAAGCCTAGAGAAGACAATTATGCTGGATTAACCTTGAAGGAGCTGGGGGTGGTGACAGCCGACAGGGAGCTCTGGCGTGGGCTGGTCCATGAGGTCACGAAGAGTCGGAGACGACTGAACGAATGAACAACAACAACAATATTATATACTAGCTGTCCCCTGCCAGGCGTTGCTGTGGCCCAGTCTGGTGATCTGGAAAATAGAATCATAGAATCATAGAATCATAGAATCAAAGAGTTGAAAGAGACCTCATGGGCCATCCAGTCCAACCCCCTGCCAAGAAGCAGGAATATTGCATTCAAATCACCCCTGACAGATGGCCATCCAGCCTCTGTTTAAAAGCTTCCAAAGAAGGAGCCTCCACCACACTCCGGGGCAGAGAGTTCCACTGCTGAACAGCTCTCACAGCCAGGAAGTTCTTCCTCATGTTCAGATGGAATCTCCTTTCTTGTAGTTTGAAGCCATTGTTCTGCGTCCTAGTCTCCAGGGCAGCAGAAAACAAGCTTGCTCCCTCCTCCCTATGGCTTCCTCTCACATATTTATACATGGCTATCATGTCTCCTCTCAGCCTTCTCTTCTTCAGGCTAAACATGTCCAGCTCCTTAAGCCGCTCCTCATAGGGCTTCTTCTAATATATGTAATTCCTTTCTGCTTGTGAGTAAACAGTATTTCTTGTTGTTTCTTTGTCAGTGTTGATGTGGAGAGTGTCTGGTTTGCCTACTCTGGAACATGCAACATATCATAGTCCTTCTTTAAGGGTCTCTTTCAAATCTATGATACTATATCTGTGTGTGTGAATCATATCTATCTATATTTATGACTGGATGGCTCTTTGTCAGGAGGGCTTTGATTACATTTTCTTGCCCTGGTGAAGGGAGTTGGACTGGATGGCGTTAAGTATTTTCTGTTGGTCATGGGGGTTCTGTGTGGGAAGTTTGCCCCATTTCTGTCGTTGTGGGTTTCAGAATGCTCTTTAATTGTAGTGAACTATAAATCCCAGTAACTACAAATCCCAAATGTCGAGGTCTATTTCCCCCAAACTCCATCTGTGTTCATATTTGGGCATATGGAATTTTTGTGTCAAGTTTGGTCCAGATCCATCATTGTTTGAGTCCACAGTGCTCTCTGGATATAGGTGAACTCCAACTTCCAAACTCAAGGTCAATGCCCACCAAACCCTTCCAGTGTGATCTGTTGGTCATGGAAGTCCTGTATGCCATGTTTGGTTCAATTCCATCATTGGTGGAGTTCAGAATGCTCTTTGATTGTAGGTGAACTATAAATCCCAGCAACTACAACTCCCAAATGTCAAGGTCTATTTCCTCCAAACTCCATCTGTGTTCATATTTGGGCATATGGAATATTAGTGCCAAGTTTGGTCCAGATCCATCATTGTTTGAGTCCACAGTGCTCTGTGGATGTGGGTGAACTATAATTCCCAAACTCAAAGCCAATGTCCACCAAACCTTTCCAGTTTTTTCTGTTGGTCATGGGAGCCCTGTGTGCTGAGTTTGGCCCAATTCCATCATTGGTGGAGTTCAGAATGCTCTTTGATTGTAGGTAAACTATAAATCCCAGCAACGACAATTCCCAAATGACAAAATCAATTTTTTTGAGTGGAGGACATACATTGGGTTGTTAGGTGTCTTGTGTCCAAATTTGGTGTCAATTCCCCCAGTGGTTTTTGAGTTCTGATGGTATCACAAACGAACAATACATTTTTATTTATATAGATATACCATATTTACTCGATTCTAATGCTCACCTTTTTGACTAAATTACCTTCCCAAAATTAGGGTGCACATTAGATTCAGGTAATATAGTAAATACTTTTTTGGATTTCAGAGTTTTTAGAAATTGAGATGTACATTAGATTCAATGGCATATTAGACTCGAGTAAATACGGTATATGGAATACACGTGTTTTTTAAAGGTAAGTTTGCATACAATATTTTTAATAATTTTGTGTACACCAGAAAGCAAAAGTGTTGTTATCTCAGCCCCCCTTGTGGACACATGAATTTGGGAGCATTTTGTGTACTCAACTCAATAGGTACTTAATAACAGGTTGCATCACTCTTCCACAATAAGAAAGCTAGGTAGACTTGTATTGTTATATATCACACACACATATACACAATGCATACTAGATGCGCTTGTTTGTTCCTTGTGCTGTGGGTTTTGGGTTAACGAACATTACATTTTTATTTATATAGATAATATCATGTTCTACTGCTGCCTGTTTCATGTTCCCTTAATGAAAATCTACCCTCTGTGTGTGTCCAGAGCCACAGCACCACTGGAGAGTTATTTCCAGGTTAGCAGAACACAGGCAGCGGCGCCATCAAATGTCCTAGCAGGCCTCGGTGGGAACAGTTCGGACGAGACGGTGGTTCTGAGTGATGCTGAGAGCAGTAGAAGCAGCAGTAGTAGCTCCACTGAAGCAGAGGAAGATGAAAATGAGCCCGAGAGAGCCCTAGAAGCGACACTGGGTCCAGCCGTCCTGAGAGGTCTGTGTTGCTTCTCTATCTTTTACATGAACCTACAACATCACAAGTGGCAAATGTTTCAGACCTGCCCAGTAACACTTTTATGTGTCATGGTCATTTGACATTTTTTAAAGAACATGCTTAGATCAGGGCACCAACTGTTGCCAACTGGGCCAGAGTGAAGAGAGAGCGGGCCAGGGGATAGTTCCACCTTGTCTCCTGTGCTATTCTAATAATATAATATAATATAATATAATATAATATATATTGTATATACATATAATATTTATAATATTAAAATGTAATGCAATATAATAATAATAATAATAATAATAATAATAATAATATGATATTATAATTATATATTTATGTTATATGTAATATTACTAATGATATTACGATATATGGTGGTATGGTGAAATATAGCAATGTTTAATGCTGATATTGTACTATGCTAATAATATAATATATTGTATGTAATATATACCTTGTAAGCTGCTCTGAGTCCCCTTTGGAGTGAGAAGGGCGGCATATAAATGTCGTAAATAAATAAATAAATAAATTGTTGATATATTTATAGCAATGGTTTTAGAAGAGCAAAGGTTGCAGACTGTCTTGGAAAGTGAGAGTGGCAAGCCTGTCACATATGGGAGAGAATGGGACATATCCCTTCCGGCAGGCCTACTCCGTTAGTTTTTATTATTATAATTGCAATTATTATCATTTTCTTTATTTATACTCCACCTTTCTCTCCGTGGGGACTCAGCAGCGGCTAACAATCCCACACTAGACAAGTTTAAAAAGTGCAATACAAAAGTTAATAAAACAAGTGTGGTAGAAACGGAATTAAAATGCAATATTTATTTATTTATTTACAGTATTTATATTCCGCCCTTCTCACCCCGCAGGGGACTCAGGGTAGATTACAATGCACATATACATGGCAAACATTCAATGCCATAGACACACAACATATATAGACAGACACACAGAGGCTATTTAACATTCCAGCTTTTTCATGAGGGTATTCTGGCCACCAGGGGAGCTGTTGCTTCAATGCCCATTTGTGACACTGAGGAAGTACTTCCTCATTCTTTTGCATGCTTGCTGGAGATTTTTATGGCATCGTAAATTAGCCTCCCTGCATAAGCAATACCTAAATTTCCTACTTGACAGATGCAACTGTCTTTCAGGCTGCAAAGGTCCACAGCAAGCTACACAAATTGGTTGGAAGCTCAATCCAACCCAGGTTGGCTTCAAACTCATGAACTTAAAATGGCCTTTAAAGCTATGAATTTTTAAATCGTATTCTGTGTTTGTTGTATTTCAATTTTTGTTCAGTGTATTTTAATATGTGTGCCATGTAAAGCCTGAGTTGGCCACTTGGCATTGAATGTTTGCCTTTTTGCTGTTGGAATCCTCCCTGAGTCCCTTCGGGGAGATAGGGTGGAATACAAATAAAGTTGCTATTATTATTATTATTATTATTATTATTATTATTATTATTATTATTGCTAGGTCCTCCAATAGCTATTATATTGTATGTGTCTTGTGAATGTTTCCATAGAATTGTCCTGGAGGACCTAGCATGTTTCTTGTAATTAGAGGATTTCTCTAGGAATCTCTTGGCACTTTAGCAATGCTATTTGAATTTCTTCCACTTGTGACTGTTTTTTGCCCCATAATTTTTTTGTGCAACCCTATTATATCGGTGGTTAACACAGATATAAAAGTCAAGAGAAATCAGTGTTTGCAAGGTTTGCTAAATAAGCTGGTGTTCCTTTTTATGAAGTAGATCCATTTCAGTCTGGTTTCAGCAAGCGAGAGTCCAAAAGTGGCAGGCTGAAACCCAGAGCCTCAATCAATGGCTGATACAAAATGAGAGACTCCCTCCTGGGCACACAGAAAACTGGGCAACTTGGAAGGTGCTGAACAGGCTGCACTCTGGTACCATGAGATTTAGAGCCAACCTTAAGAAATGGGGCCACAAAGTGGAATCCACGACATGCGAGTGCGGAGAATCAATCAAGGTTTGCTCCCGCAGGAACAGAGTTTGCGACGGCTCTTAGAACGCAATGCTCAAAGTTTCCAAACACTTAGTACATTACTATATACAGGAACTAATATCATTCTCAATTAACCCATAACAGCTGCAAGAAAAAAACACTCTGATCCTTTCTAAGATTTAGAAAAAGCCCACTGCAAACCCCTAGTAGCAACAGTTTCAGTATTAGTTTTCATAATAATAATAATAAACTTTATTTGTACCCCGCCACCATCTCCCCAAAGGGCTTACATGGGGCCAAGCCTGAACAAGAATACAATATAACAATACAAAATGCAATAAAATAAACAACATAACATTAAGATATAAAACATCAAAGCATATAAAACAATATACACAGAACATAGGAACTAAGCATAATGACAGAAAAACAAAGGGCGGGCCGCATGTACATAAAATGATTTAAAAACACAGGGTGAGATAAGGGGGGAGAACTAATTGTAAGGGAGAACTCAGAGAGAGATAGGAAAATAAACAAACCTTCGTACGTGGAGGGGGGGGGGGCTCCTGGGACAAAAACGTTGGAGGAGCACTAGCATAAAATTATGTGGCTACTCTCCGAAAGCGCAACAGCAGAGCCAGTTCTTAAGACTCTTTTTAAAGGTTTCCAAGGTAGGGGCTTTCCTAATCTCTCCAGGCAGTGAATTCCAGAGTCGGGGGGCCACAGAGGAGAAGGCTCTCTCCCTTGTACCCACAAGGCGAGTCTGAGAGACTGGCAAGGGCGAAAGGAGGGCCTCGCCCGAAGATCGAAGGGTACGGGCTGGTTCATGGAGAGAGATGCGGTCATGAAGGTAGGCGGGTCCCAAACCGTTTAGGGCTTTATAGGTAAGAACCTGTACCTTGAATTGGGACCGGAAGATGAACGGCAGCCAATGGAGCTCCTTAAAAAGGAGGGTTGACCACTCTCTGTAATTTGCCCCAGTTATTAATCTGGCTGCCGACCATTGGACAAGTTGTAATTTCTGAGCCGTCTTCAAGGGTAGCCCCACATAGAGAGCATTGCAATAGTCCAGTCTAGAGGTAACTAAGGCATGGACCACTATGGTCAAGTCAGGCTTCATGAGGTATGGACTCTGAACTCTGATGGAATAATTTCCTGGACTTTTTGGAAATTCATGAATTCTGATGGACTAATTTCCTGGACTATTTGTTTCTGCTTATCTTTCTACCTAATTGGATTTACCTATTTTTATGGATTGCTTTTTATTGCTACTGCTTTTAAAATATCTTCAATAAATGGCTTGCATTTTTTCTCAGCTGTGTGGTGTTTAAAGTCAGAGGGTTTTCCTGGCCTGGAGTGCAACAGATACAGCTACACAACTAGCACGGTTTCGTTTGTCATTTTATTTATTTATTTATTATTTATTTATTTCAAAGTTTTATATACCGAGCTTCTCACCTCATAAGAGGGACTCAGCCCGGTTTCCAACCATAAAAACACATACAATCGGTAAAATATCAAAATACACATTACAATAAAACATTTAAAAAGCACATATATTTAAAACTACAGTGGTCAGTCGTCATACTAAAATCGAATATACACCGTCTTCCATCCAGATCATTGTCTCATTCTTCGAAAGCCTGTCTCCATAACCACGACTTCACCTGTTTCCTGAATGTCAGGATTGTTGGGGCAGTTCTAACCTCTGGCGGGAGAGAGTTCCAGAGTTGTGGGGCCACTACCGAGAAGGCCCTGTCCCTCGTCCCCACCAGCCGCGCTTGTGAGGCCGGCGGGACCGAGAGCAGGGCCCCTCCAGATGATCTTAGTAATCTTGGTGGTTCGTAGGGGAGAATACGTTTGGAGAGGTAAACCGGGCCGGAGTCATTTAGGACTTTATAGGTTAACACCAGCACTTTTGTGTGTTGAATGCTGCAGATACGGGAGGGAGGATTCTGGCTACACGGAAATAGAAGATGTGCGAGCCACTTAACTGCTCAGTTCAGCCACAAGTTCACATTAGAGTGGATTACAAGGCAACATCTGGGAACTGCATCTTAGATCAGGCATGGGCCAACTTGGGCCCTCTGGGTGTTTTGGACTTCAACTCCCACAATTCCTAACAGCCACCCGGAGGGCCCAAGTTGGCTCATGCTTGGGTTAGAGTCAATAGACTAGTCCCAACTTATCCAGTTGAATCCAGTTCAAATCCAACTTGTCTAATATTGAGGACAGAGGGGTGTCCAAAACTGAACTTACCTTTTGATTTACTAATTCTACAGGAAATTAAGCAGGATACTTTTTTGGGAAGGAGATAGAGGGTAGTTGGAAAGCCTGGAAGGATGCACTGCTGGTAAGCCTACCTGAACTTGCTGCCGAAGCTTGCTGCATTCATCTGTCAAGACCTGCAGCTGGAGGCGGCTCTGTGCCGATTCCAGCTCTGCTTTCCTCCTGAGCATTTGCTCCTTTTCTAAAGAACTGCGGGAGAAAAAAGAACATCAGACTCCACTCTCAAGGAGGTTTATCAGGCAGCTGCCCTCTCTCTTCACAATGGCAGGTATGTCCCCCTCTACAGATCACCTTTCAACTTGCTCAAAGAGTCAAAGCAAAGCATTAATCCTATTTTTTGTGTGTGCATATACATCAGAACAGTAACACTTTTCCTCCTGCACAACAATACTCAGCCCATTTGAACAGGATAACCTGTTGCATATGAAAAATATTGGGAGAGACATGGATAAATAATAAATTTTTGGGAAAAATTAAAATAAAATATTTTTAATTATTTGGGGTAGATGGAAGAAATAATAACATTTATTATGCAGGGGGGAATATAACTTGATATTATGTCAGGGGAAATTGTTGGAAATACAGTAGGATTAAATTAGACAAAAAGGAAGAAAATGGGAAGAGACTAAAATAGGAAATAAAAGATGAAATTATAAAAATTAAATTTTAGTAAACATGTTTGTATTGATATCACTTGTAGTTAGGTGTTATCACCATGCTAATCTTCTCTGTATCATTCCAATTTTAGAGTTAGGTATTAACTTTAACTATATTTGTTAACTAACCGTCCCCTGCCATGCGTTGCTGTGGCCCACATGGGGGTTCTGTGCGGGAGGTTTGGCCCAATTCTCTCGTTGGTGGGGTTCAGAATGCTCTTTGATTGTAGGTGAACTATAAATCCC